TGACCTCCATTGATGGCTATACTCTGTTAAAATCTCTTAAGAGATTTTAACAAAAAAACAAACTTTTTAGGAAAAAACCAGGGAATAACTTTGAGTGTAAAAATGGATTCATTAACTATTGGTAAGTACGGGAAAATTGTTGTTTACTCCAGGAAAATTAATTTTTTTGGCCAAAACGAAGAGTTATTATCCCTTTAATTTAAGGAAAAACATCTACTGGCCATGACGGACCACTAAATTCACACATATTGAAAAATACACCAAATTTTACGAAATTTTACTGGCCTCGGGCGTCGGACTAGTGGCTATGCGCCTTACGTGGAATCTGAAATGATTGAGAACGGTGTGAATAAAACATAATTGACGATCGCGATAGACAGAACACAAACAAAAACGTTTCTTTCACCGTTTTAAAAATTTGAATTTTTTTCTTTTTAGAAGATTACGTTAGTAGGCAGTGACGAATGAACTTGCCAAGTCACTTTGCAAAGGAAATTGGAAGGGAACAAAAATAGTCTCCTCATTGTTTTATCAAGCTATATGTCATATAATATTAAAATATTGACACCGTTCATTAGCCGGAGAATTGTGGTGATGGAAATCTTCCATACTGGGTTACAGTGAGGCACTTTGTTGCTCTTTTAGGATAAAGGCTGTTCTGTTTCATTGTATATGTTCATAATTGCATCAGTAAAATAGCAATAAAATTCGTTAGAATTTTATTCCAATTGTTCATTTTAGTTTTATTATTTTTTTAAATGTTCACATGGTAGGAAATAGCGCTTTACTTCACTTGGGTGTGTGTGACATTCCTGATGGTCATAACAGGTCACAACATTTTCTTTGCTTTTCCATAACAATTTCACTGTATATGTTTAGCACAGATATGGGGAATAGCGTGTCCTCCCATCTCCACCCCACCCCACCAGTCCCTAAATGTACCATTGTGGAGTTCTTAGTTTAGCTAATGGACTACAGTGTGCCGCGCTGTTGGTACAAGTAAAGCCTCAACTTTTCTATATGCAAATGCCAGGGAACGTCATCCATCTGAGGCAATCCGGCTTATTCTTACTACAAATTGTTCTGCAATAACCGTTTCACTAGGACACAGCTAAGAGCACTGACTTGGATTAATTGCTTCCAAATTTCTAAACGTCCATTAAAAATCTGGACACCCTGTTACAATATCTTGGCTGCAAGAAGTCTTTAAGTTCGTCTTTAGTAACCCATCTGTAATCTGTAACATCTGGATTTTCTTGTGAAAACTGTCCTCCAGAGAAATGAGCATGAAAGAAAAATACCTGGAAAATAAATAAATAAATAAATAAATAAATAAATAAATAAATGTATAAAAATTTACGGTAATAATATTATTTACACAATTTCTATACTCCATTAAGAGATTGGCTTAACCTTTTGCAGTCAGTTATAGTCTGATTTTTTCTGTATTTATCACAATAAAAATAATACTTATAATAATAATAATCATAAAATTTTATTTCTTAAATATGCATATTAAGTAAGCAGATATGCCAAATTATTGCCATGACTCTTAAACACCAAAAAACAAGTTACTATGTAACAATACTTTTAACTATTGTCATCTTCTCCATATTGTAAACAACCTTGAAATGTGTTATTTTTACCTTGGCTCCAACGATGTCACTTCTCAACTCTTTTGGGTATTTAAACTTGAAGAAACCACAGGGAGCATTGCCAATGATGACAGCTTGCAGGTTTGGTCCGCAAGACGCACCAAGAGCTCTTCCTGCTGCCTAAAATGTGGAATATATTTTCCATATAAAGAAGCTACAACGATGATTAGATGTCAAATTTACTTGCCTCTTGACTTTATCTGCACAAATAAATTTCTCTCAAATCCTCATAGATATGGTGTATGGTGACAGAGTTGGATTGGTGGCACCCAGGTGGCTTGTTTGCATATATATATAATACAGGGATGGGACAGCAACATGCTAAAAGAGGAAAAAAATCCTCTTTCTCTCCCGAATTTAACCACTTTTTGATCATTTCACACAAAACCCAGCCACTTTCAAAGTCCCATTTCACATTTCACAAAAAGAGGAGGAATTCAGCCAAAAGGAAAAAGAACCCCACCCCTACATACAGTCACTTTTATACAGCTATGTTCATGAAGTTATTCACAGTTTTTCCTTGCCTGTTTCATGTCTTCATTCCTTTTTACGGCACTGTATGGAAACAGCCATTTTGTAGTATTATCAATCTTATGTTGGAGTATCAGGAACAAAGACCTGTCCAATTTTCTCTCGATTGACTGAAGGTCATTCCTTGCATCTGCATCTGGATAATCAAAGCACGTACATGTAATAATAGCAGTATAATAAATTTAAAATGATTAAGTTTTAAATTTGGAGAATTGGCTTTAACACTACCTTTAGCACGAAAGTGATGTGCTTGAAATACCTGGCAAGTGCTAATGAATATATTATAAATAATGTCATGCTGTTTTTAAACCTACCTTTGGCCATGTTTTTTATGAATTTATCTTTTTAGCTATCTAGTTTTATGTATCTGCATACCTACTTTCTGTGAAAAATAATATGTTCATGATGTTCTTAAATTAAAGTCCTTCACATAGCTATATTTAATGTGAATTTTACACAATTTTCCCTCAATCACCATCCTATCAAAAATGACAAAATTTCAGTCTATATGCTCTTTTACAAGTTCTTAATGTCTATTTTGAACATTACAAAAAAAAAAAAAAAAAAAAAAAGTTTTCATCTCTGTTATGAGAGTGGTCCAAAATTCTAAACTTACAACTCAAGAAACTTATTGGTAAAACTGGCAGTTTTGTCAGCAATTTTGGATACGGTATACTATTCTGGTTAAAAAGGAAAATTGTGTAGATTTCGAGGAAAGTTTAAGTCTTGCTAACTTAAGATCTAGCCCTCATTTGTGTGACTTGCCTGTCAATCTACCAGCTGGAGTGAAAAATGCCAGTTCTTTGGCCCAAGCCTTTTCTAAGTCTGAAGATAGTATCCTTCTATGTACAGCTTCCTCTTCTTCATCAACCTCCTGTAACCCCTTCTTTATCCTCTCCTGCTTCTTCACTTCTTGAGCAGCAAGATATTTCCTGGTGACAGAGAAAAAGCAAAAAAAAATTATCATTATTTGAGAAAATTGTGAGCCATGAACAAACTGACAGAACTAGAAACTCATACACAAACCATTTTTCCATGATTCTTTTAATAATCTGAGAAATTCAGAGTCATTTAGAAAATTAAAATACTCATATGGTCCCCTTTCACAAAACATCTGTAGCCATGTAATTAGTCTTAAAGCTTTAAAGCAATTTTTAGAACCCATTCCCTTACCTAGATCGATCTAGCAGGACTGACGCATCTCCGAAGGATTTCTAAATTTTATTCAGCTTAAGCGGCTCCGTTGTCATTTAGCAGCTTCAGTAGGTGTGCCAGACATCTAAGCTGCTTAATCTGAATGCAATTTAGCAAGAAACCCCTTGGAGATGGGTCAATCCTGCTAGATTGATCTAGGTATGGGAATGGGGTCTTAGTCTATTTTTACCCAAAATAAATCGGTATCAGTCAACAATGTGTAATGCTCTGTGTGTTTTAAACATAGATGTACATAAAAGATGCTACTAATGTTTCACCCCAGTTCTTCCTTCATTTAAAGCCAAGAATTTGTTAGACCAAATTTTTGGAATTTAACTTAAAAACCAATCCTTAGGTTCTCTTGTGAAATAAGTCCCAGTTAAAAAGCCATGCATCAAAGCTTAATTACAGTTATTTTACTGTATGATGGCAACTGTAAAGTTAATAACTTGTCATTAATTGCTAATCACTCACATTCATTTATCCATCAATCATATCACTGTAGGCATGGAGACAAATATTTTTGATAAATTAGCAGATAAATGATCTAGTTTTATATTTTACATTATATCAGAAATACAAGGTGAAAGAGAGGTTTGATGCATGTTTGGCAAGTAAAGTGTACTGCTAGTCCCCCCCTCTCTCCCTCCATTAAAGTCATAATAACTCTTCGTTTTGGCCAAAAATTGGATTTTCCTGGAGTAAACGGCAATTTTCCCGTACTTACCAATGGTCAACGACCCCATTCCTGCATTCAAAGTTAGTCTAGGAATTTTTCCCTAAAAGTTTGGTTTTTTGTTAAAATCTCTTAAGAGATTTTAACTGACGGAGCCCTTTCTGACATTGCATAGTCACACGATATTGAGCGATATTTTCTGGTGACCTACTTAAAACTGCGGGAGACAGCAACAACACTCTATAACAATAATATAAGATTCATCAGATATTCGTCTTATTGCTCAAAATGCATTTATATCTACAATGTGTGCAATTCTGGGCTTTTCGTTATCGGACCCACTGTACAAAGACTCGCAACTTACGCCTGCAGATCGCATCAGTCGTTTCGCGCCATGTTATTTTGGGTTCGAATGAATGTGAGAATCCGCGTGACACCCAAATGTCATTGGCAACAGATGCCTTGACGACCGGGAAGAAAGGCATCGAAAGCCCTATTGACAAGCACAGATTTTAGTTTTACTACCATAACGGCCGTTTTAGTGGTAAAATGCAATAGAATATATTTCCATACGTTGTTTACAATGTATTTCTTGCTGAATTTTGAATCTCAAAGGAAGAGTTATTATTGCTTTAACTTTATGTTAACAAAAGAATGGCATAAACAGGTTTGTTGAGGAAAAAAAAACTGAAAACTTACTCCTCTGATTTTTGCCTTTTCTCATAGTCGCACACCAAACTTCTCTCAAATTCAATATCCCTGAAAATCTGTTCCACTTGTTGTTCTAACTCAGTCTTCTCACGACCAATCACAGGTCTTNACTCCCTCCCTTTAGGAAAAAAGGGGGGGGGGGCCTTTTCTTCAAAAAAAAGGAGGGGGGCCCATGGGGGGCCCCCCCCCCCCCCCCCCCCCACCCACACACACATCTGACTTTAAAGGCTGCACAAAAGTCATCACATGCTGTATTAAAGGCAAATGGAAAAGACTAGAAAAGGGTACTAGTTTTATTTTTGAAGTACATTTTGCAGTTTGCCAGTTGGCATGTGTTAAAATGTAAGTTATCCACCGAGACTGTGGGAAGGACCGAACTTTTTCATTAAGATATGGGAATAAGAGCGGCAAATTCCACTACAGGAGAACAAAAAAAAACAAACTTTTTTTATTATTTTAACCACTTGGCTACCTTCCAAATATCTATACTCACGTCGTATTGTGAGATTTGTTCGGTAAATCTCAAAAAGTCTAGACATGCACCTCTTGCACCCAGACATGATGTGTGGATCTTTATGAACTTCACGTATTGAAGAGTAACAAGACAAGCCGTTCGGTGTATCAAAAAATGATGATCGTTTACGTTACGGAAACTTTAATACAACTAACTGCGCATGTTAAAAACCTATAAAACTTGCACTATAAGAATGTGTACAGACTTTGGGGGCGAATTTTCTGGATTGAAAATAGTGTAGTTTTTATCCATACTGTCACCTGCTGTCACCCGGAGCTTCAGAGATAACTTGCCACTAACCTCTTCACTATAGCCTATCTTCATCGTGTCAAGTTACGAGGCTAGTGGCAAGTTATCTCCGAAGCTCAGGGTGCCTGCTGTTCAGTCAGCATACAGTAGGGCCTATGTATGACCAAAATATAATTACAAGTTCAAAGCATCGGCCTATTGATTTCAGTTTACTTTGTAGTTAAAAAAAAAAAAAAAAAAAAAAAAAACGAAGAGAGATAGATAAGCATGATACTTAGATATATAAATTCTATTTTCATCGATATGGTGTAGAGCATATGCTCTAAAACTGTGTAGAACATATGCTCTAAAACTGCCCTTCAACCGATATAAAACATTATATAGGCTACAAATAAAAACAGAAATGAGAATAGACCGTTTATAACACAATAGATTGATGGTGTTCAAAGGTAAAATGTTTTGGGAAATTACGGAAAATATCCTTTATGGCCAAGGTGAACAAAATCATTTTGAAAAAAAATAAAAATGTATGACCCGTTTTCGTGTTCTTACATTGTATTTTCTAATGGAGCCATGGGCAAAAGTCACCTGCCTCTATCTATTAATACGAGGGATTAAAAAACTAGACTATAATGATCCATGGATCGTACAGTGTTTCTCACTATTGATATTTCATCAGCATGTTTACAGAAATGTTTGCAGAAATATTTTACGATCAAGTTCGTAGCATTATGCACCCGGTATATTGCTTTAGGCTACAGAAAGCGTGTTAACGGTACAAATACATGTAGGCCTACATGTAGCTATAGTGTATACAAGTACGTCCACCTGTTCTGGACAATGCAATGGACTCATTACCCATCTTTACCGCTGTATTTTACACGATACGGGCAATCGTTGTAATCTCCTGACTGCTCACTGATTCAGCATTCGTTTGACGACCCGTATTTTACAGTTCGAAAGTTATAACATATTTGCGTCTGAGAAGTTTTTTGCAGTAAGATATATAATTGTTCTTATTTGTCACTTTGACCTATGTATACGCTAGATGTGCATGATAGGTCAGAGTAAACGAACGTCTTCGCAATTTTCTGTTTTGGGCTAAAAAAGAAAGAAAAAAAAAAACAAAAAAAAACATAGCCTTATAGGCCTAGGCAGGTGTTCCATAGGCTTTAGATATGTCGAGTGCAAACTTATTTTCAGCTGACGCGACTAAGCAAAACTGGCTTTATTCCTTTATGTAAGAAAAAAAATAATTATTAATGATTAATAGGCCCTAAATAGATACTTCTCAGATGGCCGCGATACGTATTCTGCTGATAGGCCTAACTGCTAAACAAGGGGGTGGTCGCATGCAGTGGTGCAGGAAAGCGGAGGTAGTAACGGCTGATAGTTACGGTGTGGGCGAGTAGCCTAAACGGTGCGAGGACCTATAAATATAGACCTATTTGGCGAGCGTAACATTTATAGGCTATATATATATATCCTTCTTAATAAATGCCAACCCCTCGTTTCTTTTTCTTTTCACATTACGTTTTTTTAAAGGTCCGTCTGTTATCTAAATATGTTTTGAAAAGAACTTTTCTGAACAAATTTGAAATTAACTTTAAATTCTTGCTAATCACTAGACGTGCGTTTCACTTAAGATGTTCCTGGCGTCTGGCATAGGGGCCTGAAGCCTACCTTCTTTGGCAGGACCCCAGCTGACGAATGTCTTCAGAGAATCGAGAAAATTAAAGGCCAGTCACTAATTAAACGGACATTTCTTCCAGTACTTTGAGAGGAAAATTCCAACCTTTATTTCAAGGTTTTTGTCGTTTTAAAGATCTGAATTAATTGGGAAAGAACAGTAAATTTGCAGAAAATATATAGGCAAAGGATGTGTTTTGAATTACATGCACTGTACTGACTATACAGATTACAGATACGTATTTACCCACGGAATACTTTCATTTTCAATATTAAAAAGTTGGATCAGCAAACGTGTTTCAACAGCAGTCAGCAAGAGTGCCGTGCAAACGGCCCTCGAATTGCTACTTTCTGCGTTTGTGTAAAGACTTGCCATCATCTCCAACGAAAACCTTTGGGCTTCACCGCACGATTTCTGTGCTCACCCTCTTTTGTCATCATTTCGAAACTCATTGGAGAGTCTCGATCAAATAAGATCAAGTGTATCAAATATTGTAACAAAACCTGAAGAGAGAGAGAGAGAGAGAGAGAGAGAGAGAGGGAGAGACCGCTTTTGTGGGAACCCACAAAAACCGGAAAAGGAAGCTCCTTGAAACTGTACGCGCATGTCTGAAATGCATCCTGGGATACGACTTATTTTTAGTAACACTGCCGATCAGTTTAAAGCTGTGTGACGTCAAATTTGGCTTCAAAGCATTTGGGGCGAGTCACCGAGGTAGGTTCTATCGAAATACTCACACCAACACTTAACAGATTATGTCATGTCGCATGTTGTCTACATTTTTCCTTTGTGTGGCGGTTATTTAGTCTATGAATTAAGTCTAACAGGTGCTATTGTCGACGTCTTTCAGTAAAATTAGAAATTTGTTCACTCCGGAGTGGAGAAGGCATGAAGTCGAACGGTTTTTACCCGTATCCTAATGGTTTATAAAAACCACTCCTTAATGATATTGAAATGTACGTGTACCATGATGCTTGGGATAGTCAATACGGCCTGATTTTGTCAACATTTCTTTAGGTATTCAACTGTAATTAATTAAAGGATGTTTTCAAACTTTCGAGGTATTGTTTCGAGCATCTTCGGTAGAACATCCGTATAATAGATAATAAAAACTGTTTATTTTATACTAAAAACTCTCTAAGTAGTTGCTCTTGATATTTGACATTAGCCTTGTAAATATAAGGCTACAACCATAGAAAGGGACAAAAGTGTTCTACCTTGTGATATTTTCAGCACCCCTTTTAAACAAAGGTTGATTTGTTTGTCAACTATATCAAAATAGTAATTATTTAAAATTATCGTAAAGTGAATGGGAAACTCCCGTTATCATACTGGGTCATTGGTGATAATTTCTTATCCAATAATTGATGTAGGTAGATTGGTATTCATTATCATTGTTCACTGTTTATTCCTGGTTTTTGAGAGGAGACACTGGTGATATTACTACTTGCCAATCTTTCGTCCCCCTCCCTCCCACCCACCCTATCTCTATTCACCCTATACCTACAATACTCACCCCATGCCCCTTCTCCCATTTTACTTACCCTACTTCTCTTCAACCTGCATTCTACTCTCCTTCCCCCCACCCCGCTTCTGCTCTTTACCCATCGTCTCCTTTCCACTCGGTCTGTCTCATCCCATCCAGCCATCATACCCTTCTACTCTTCTTCAAGCTTCATCTCACCCCTTCCACATGCCCTCTCTTTCCATCTACCTTTTCAACCCACCTGTTCGTGCTGTCTATCCTGGCCCTTCTCCCCTTCTTGCCTCACCCTTGCTTGACAGGGGCAGTTTCAGAGATATTTTTTGACAGTCTTCCAAATTATCTTTGTTGATCCATTCTTCTTTTTTGACCGTCTTCCGACAAAAAAATTAGATATCCGTCAATGTTAACATGAAAATCTGACCGTCTTCCGGAAGACCCAGAAGATGGCCTAAATCCGCCCCTGCTTGATGTCTAGTGGTGGCATCATTAGCCCAAGTAATGCAGCGAGAAGTGTATCTTCTTGCGTGGGTGGTAAATTTCTCTAGACTTTGAATGGTGGAACAAAACAACAGGCAAGTGGTCTCTGGTTGTTACATCATAAGCTGTATCAAAGTATTGAAAACTAGGTGTATTGTCTCTTTGGTGAAATCCTTCGAAATCTGAATAGGGAGACAGAGCTATAGGCTAAATAGTGTGCCTCTCTCCAAGATTCCCCCTGGTTCTAGGATCTTCCATAACTCCCTGGTTCATAGGAGAATACTTATCACTGAATTTTCACTTTCATTTATAAAATCAAGCCTGTTAAACTCGGGGTAAGCAGCCAGTTCTTTGATTTTGAATAGATGTAGTGTTCGGATGATTTTCAATGGGTGCAGTAAGAGGGTGAACACCAGGAAAAAAAACTAAACCACAAGAAATGGGCTCAGCTCAGCTTACATAGGAAACGTTTTGTCCAAATGAGATTTCATCTTTGTTTTTGTCCATTCTATGCGTTTAGTTTTATGCTCTGCCAAAACATGTTAACAGAGGCTTAGATTTTGATCACATACATCTTCTGATGTAAATGGGCTGCCTTTTACTGATACCAGTCATCTCATTGTCAATGTGGATGAATAATTAAATAAAAATCTCTACTTGATGTTACAGTTATACTAATGTCTTAATAACGAGGAAGTCAAATAAATACAAAGTAAGGCGGAAGTGTCTGTGGCTACAACAGGAGTTTTTATATTTACTCAACTGTAAATAGTGGAATAAGGCTGCAGAAAATGACAGCAAATAATCTGTTACCATAATAATATGTTGGTTCTCAAATAGTGGAGAACGAACTTGATTTATTTTTACATTAATTAAGACACCTGAAACAAAAAGCTAGTCTGAAATGGAAACTTATATATTTGATACCAGCACAAATATGACCCAAAGTACAGCACGTACATTATGCAGAAGATTATACCTGGGACTAAATAAGTATACTTTTTAACTGTCATATAAATGTATAGATAATAAGTTTGACTACAGTATGAGAGACAACTCAGATGTGGAGGCAGTCTTATACATAAAGGTTTTCATTTTGTTCCTTGACATCTCAAAAAGGCATGCTTTATCACATATTTTACAATGTTGCAGATCATGAGAGTAGTATTTTGATTGATAAAGCCATATTGCACTCTCTGTCCCCCCCCCCCCCCC